TTCCGGGGCTGTTTGTTACTGCAGCAAAGCTGATTAATACGTGAAAGAAACTTTTTGCCCCAGTGGAGAGAGCTCAAGGACACCAAGTCACCAAGCTAAGCGAGTCTCTGGAGACTGCAGGAGCCTGGTGACAGATGCCTACTAGCCAGATAGGAGGCCCTGTGGCCACTCAGTTCTGCAGACTCCACAGGGCAAGGGTGAGCTGCTGCCCCCATACAGAGGGACCCCGAGTGTGGCCTTAGTGCACATGGAGCTGACCATGTGTGGGGACAGTCGGGGTGATGAAGGCAGGGACTTTCCTCAGTGCCCACCTGGGAGCCGGCTGCCGGGGTCCTCAGAGCTGTAATAGTCACTTCACCAATGCGAGCAATCTTGAACAAGGAAACTGTTCATGAGTGTCCACCTTTGCCATCGTTGCGGCTGTACCTGAGACCTTGGCGAAGAGCACCCAGGAAGCCGCTGTGTGCCCTGGCCGCTGGCTCCCATTCTCAGGGTCATCCGTGGCCACCCCTGGCCACTACCTGTGGTCCAGCCCGGGGACAGGTGAGCCACCCCACACACTGCCTGTCCTTCCCACGTCCACTGACCCGTCCTGCTTCAGACTCAGTCCACGGCCTAGCTGGGAGCCAGTCCTGCTGAGACCCTCTCTGGTCCTCCTGGAGCGCCTGTCAGTGTCCATCAGGGCTGCAGCTGGGGACGGACCCCAAGTGGGACCGCCTGGCCTGGATCTCAGCAGTGCTCTCCAGTCTGTGGCCCTGGACAACTCCCGCGGCTGTCCTGTGCCTCAGTTTCCTCTTCTGTAGCCAGGGATAATAGGAGCACCCCTTCGATGAAACACGGACGGATTCGCTATTTCACACCATCTGCGCAAAGCACCTCCAACGTCACGTACTGCAGAGCCTGCGTGCACCATGGGCACTGCTCGTCACAGTCCTCCGCGCACACACCACAGTGCTGTGGGCGTGCACTGTCTCCCCCTGAACTGTACTTCTTTTCATAGAATATGTTTATTTCATATCCCAGAGTTTAGCAAATAGCCTTGTATATGGAAGATGTTTTTTGAGAATACTAAATGAACAAATGAATGAAATTTAAAACACATAAAAGCCTGCTACCCTGTCCCAGAGGACAACATGTCACCCTGCCTGAGGAATGAGTACATTGTTTCCTGTACCCACCCACCTGCATCCTTTGAGGGTTTGGGGGGGTGGCAGAAATCTAGTGTCAGTACTTAGTCCAGAACGACCTTGAACTTGCTACAGAGCCCAGGCTACCCAGTAGCCCTCTTGCCTCAGCCTTCCAAGTTCCAGGAATATAGGTGTCTACAACTGGATGAAGCTGTTGTCCTGAAACATAATCATTATTATCCAAAAAGCACTGGCTCTTCAACCCTTATAAGCAGATTACTCATTTTCAAGTTTACACACACAGGGAGCTGTATGGCTCATATCTAGAGTCCTCTAAGAGCCTCATGGGCTCATAGGTAGGACTTGTAGAAGGTGCTTGGGTTATAGGAGCTCATAGCTGACTTGCCTTTAGGAGGTGGGGTCTGGTGGCCTGGGAGGGGTTATGGCTGTGTCTAGCTGTCCCCCTAGTGCTTCACATGGTCATAGGTGCAGCTTTTCAGGGATGGCTGGATCTAGAGTGTGTGATGCTGATATCCAGAGTGTGTGATTACTAGATCAGTCCACTGATTGGCTTGGCATAGTTCTGGGTGTGGATGATGGGTGGGTGACACCACCCAAAAGGTGGGTAGCCTGGATAGATATAAAGCAACAGAAAGAAGGCAGGGCTGCTGCTGCTTCTTTGCTGCCTTCTGTCTTCTGCCCACCATGAACTGTTTTTCCTCTGTGATGCCCCTCTGTCATGCCACCCTGATGCCATCCAACTAAGAACTGAAACCTCTACAAACTATAGATGAAATAAACCTTTCCTCCTTTAATGTTGGTTATCAAGTATTTTGTCTTAGCAATGGGGAAAGTAACTAAGACAAAGGGTATGTCTCGTTTCCAGCTCCTACTCTCTCTCCTACTCTCTCTCTCTCTCTCTCTCTCTCTCTCTCCTTCCTGTCTACCATGTGGTGGTGAGCAGCTCTCTTCCACTCAACCCTTCCACCAATGCCACCATGCCTTGGAGCCAGCTGAGCATGCAATGAAACCTCCACACACTGTGACATACAATAACCCACCCTTCCTTAAATTGTCAGTATAATGTATTGTGTCACAGCAACAAGAAAGTGACTAAGAAATCAAAATGAAAAGCTTATAAAAATACAAGTTTGCCTTTTAGAGGAAAAAGTCTAATCTGAAGAACATAGTGATTGGGTCTATTTGTCCTTAGTGATTCAGGATTGTCAGCCTTTTAAACCCCACCTGTCTGTATCAGCACAGCCTTGCTCTCTGGCACCTTCCTTTGGGATCATCCTCTTCCAAGTGCTGGCTCGGGGGCCTTCACCAAACAGTCTCACTCTCAGGTGTCACCAGTGGGAGGCAGACAGCACACTCTGAAATGTGCAAAGTCATCTGGTCTCTCCCAGTCTCAACTGAAATGGTATTCACAGCAATGCTTCACTTTAGAATTGGTCCTGGGATGCAAGCACTGCCTTGTCCTTTATGGCAAAGTATTCTTGATTGCTTCCGCATTTACTTATTAATAGTGTCGGCATCCAGGCATGGTGATGAACACCTGTAATCCCAGGTCAAGAAGCTGAGGCAAGAGGATTGCTGCAAGTTTGAAGCCAGCCTGGCTATGCAGTGAGCTCAAGGCCAATCTGAACCACACAGTAAGACCCTGTCTCAAATAATGATAATAATAATAATAACAACAACAACAACAACATTGATGTTATAGTGACTAGTTAGAATAATCTCAGATAAAAATCATTGAAGCAGACCAAAGAAGTTATCAGAATGAAATACTGTTTGGAATCCAAGTGAAACAAAAAAAAGCCAAATCCTTTTTGAATGTGACAATCACAATAAATCAAATGATGACAAAGAAGAATGAAACACTGCAGGGATAAGATATTGCTTGTCCATGTGGAGAGAAGTACAGAATCAAGAAGGGTTTGTAAAACTGTAAACTGTGGTTGTGATATCAGACTTGTCCCTCTCAGTAGGCTGTAACCTCAATTGCACCGTGCTTGCCTCCAGGAGAGTGTTGGAGGATGCGGTGTGGTCCAATAATTCAGTTCTGGGAATCTACACACAGTGCTGAAGGCAGGGCCTCACACAGATCCTTGTATGTCAGCATTATTCACAGCAGCTGAAACCTGGGAACACCTTTGAGTGTCCATCCACGGGTGACCAGATAAACAAGATGCGGTCCATACCTACAATGGAGTATTATTTGGCATTGAAAAAGGAATGGCATCCTGACAGATGCCACAAAACAGATGAACCCTGAAAAAATTACACTAAGTAAAATGAGGCAGTCATGTGAGGAAAAATGTTGTATTATTCCACTTTCATTAGGCACCTAGAATAGGCAAATTCACACAACTATAAAGTCAAACTGAGGTTTCCAGGGTCAGAGGCAAGGAGAAATGGGGAGTTGTTGTTTAATGGATACAGAACTTTTGTTCTGATGATGACAAAAGAGTTCTAGAAATAACAGTTGTGCTGGTTGTACAATTTTATGCTTGACGCGCCTGGATTATATTTTTTAAAATAAGTAAAATGGTAACATGTATGTTATAGTTCACAACAAGCAATATTTCAATAAAAACAGCTTGAATTATATCAAAACAGGCAGATAAGGCCTGGTGTGATTATCAGAGACCCAGCCTCTGTTTTGAAGTTCTGTTATCTCAACATAGCTTCTCTGTGACCCAAGAGGGCTGCTCCAACTCCAGTCATCACATCAGCAATCCAACAGGAGGTTTGCTCATTCCCTTTCCAGGTGAGACTCTTCCTGAAAATTCTGCCTTCCCTTCAGCCATACTTCCTGGAAGCTGTACACGGCCCTTCAGCACTGTCCCCATTGGCCAGAACAGTCATGTGGCTCTTTAGCACATTCCCATTGGCCAGAACGCAGTCACTTGGATGGACCCTGGCCGCAGAGGCAGCTGGGCCATGGGGTTACTGCTCCGGGTGCCTGTCTTCGCAGTGGACCCTCAGAAGTTCTGCTACCTAGAGCCCCATCCCCAGGGGAAAGACTCAGCACCCTCAAAACAACATGGCTCCCCACTCCTCCCTCCCACGAAGATGGTCTCTGGTTAAGAAACTCCAGACGAAGCCGCAGTTTCCCATCCCTGCAGTGAGGAGAGAGAGAATCAGGCCGGTGTGGGTCACCGAAATCTGGCTCGGAAAGAAGGAATCAGGAAGGATAGGTGAGATGGGGCACCCACACGTCTCGTCTGCGCAAAGCGCTCCAGAGAAACTGCTGTTAGTGCTCACTGCACATTCTGCCGCTGCTGTGTATGTCCTGTTCTGCTGGGACCAACGAGCTAACCGCCCGGGGAGGTTTTTATGCTGCACGGTCCCGATTTCGATCTCCCTTTTACTACTTTCCTTTGGACACAGTCCATGTAATCCTCCGTAACTGCCTCACTACGCATGTGCACCTGATGTTCCCGCCACTACCTCCTCCAGTCTCAGTAGAGATCTCGCGATGACAGCAGGAGCTCCACGCGGGCTCTGACTTCTAGCTACCCGTGGCCCTCTCTCCATATCTACCCCCTGCTCCGCATTTTCTGTTTCCTGCCAGGTCCGCAGCCTCAAAAAAAGTCCTTCACACCCTAAGCCTGAAAAAGCAAAACTAGCCCCGGAACCAGCTCAGGAGGGTGTGCTGACCTCAGAAGCCCCGCCCCAGAGGTTTCTTAAATCATCTCTTCAGCTCCATTGTTACAGCAGCTCCTACCTCAGGCCTCAAGACCTGGAACACTACCATTTTAAGTACCATTTTAAGCTCTGAACCCAGAGCTACATGCCCAGGCTTTTATTTTTTATTTCAAGACAGCGTCTGGCTAAGTCACTAAGTCACCCAGGCTGGGATCAAACTTGTGCTCCTCCTGCCTCAGCCTCCCAGACTATTGTGATATTTTTAAAGCACAATTACTGCATATAAGATAGAATGTGGACGACACACACTTTGCAACCTTTTCTGTGCCAAGGTAGGATCTGTGGATCTAGGTTGGGTGGCAGTGGCAGCCGTCCCCTCTAGCTGCCACCATGTACTTTCAAAGGTGGCTGATCCCAGAGCCACTGAGGTCAAAGGAGATGGGGGAGACGAGGAGCTGGGCGAGGGTGAATTCCCTCCACTTTCTCATGGGAGATGTGAACAGAACAGACCAACCATTGGCTGTCACTCTGGTCCCCAGGGAAAGAGGAGGTGTGGGTATGGCCGGGGTTGGAGTAGGGAAAGAAGGGCCAGGAAGTTGGCTTGTGCCAAAGGTTCCCCTTTGCGGGTGGGTACTTCTTGGGCCTTATGAATGATGTTATTTGAACAAAGCGTGGCTCCGTCTTTCCCAGGGCTGCAGACGACAGGGCTCCATGAGTTCTTCCAGCCTGGATTCCTGGGCTCCATCTCTGGAGGCCAGGGCTTCCTGGGCACAGTCGGGACTGGCTCCCTACTTAGAAGAAAGCAACTGTTCGCTCAAAGGGATTTAGTAAGCAGTAAGAAAAGAAAAGAGGGAAACACTGCACAATTTACTCGCAAAGCTGGTGGACCCTAAGTTATGAGACGTTAAACAAGGAGAGAATAGAGCCGCGTAGAAGGGGAAGTAGTTGTGGGATGCCACACGATGGGGGCACCGCTGGGACCCCAAACTCAGCGGAGACCTAGACCAAGAGCCTCTCACTGCTTCTTCCCCTGTGGTACTTTATGGACTCTTAGGAAACTTCTGTCTCCTGCATTTTTTCTGTTCAGGTAACGGTTTTGATTTACTACGCTAGGTTGTTTAAAATGTCTGGCTTATGAACCAGTATTATTGGTTCAGAGTGGTCAGTTATGGTGAAGTCTTTGGCTATAAGCCAGGTGCTGTAGTTAAGCTACACTCTGGCTAATCCCAGCCCTTCTTCCAGTAAGCGAACCCTGTTACAACTCACCTCATCGCATGCTGTTAGACTGTGAGTCTTATTCTTCAGTATCTGAGGAGGGTGACCAATGGGCGGTGTGTGTGTGTGTTGCAGGGTCTCGCTCAGTTAAACTCTCTATTCTTAATTTCCTGGGAAAGCCTCTTTGGGCCTCTGCAGTTCATAAAGGCTACCATGAGAAGATTTTCTGTATGAGGAGAAATTGCAGCCCATTTCTTTCCACTCCGTAGGCTGCGTCCGCCTTAACCTAGTGTTTTTACATAGATGCTTCTGCTTCTGTTCCCCATTAGGGTTTGCTGAAGTTGGCGGAGTACAGGATGTATTAGCAAAGAGTGATGAGCTTTATTGGGATTTATCAATTACAGAAAAATATTAAGCACTGCTGGGCCATCTGAGTTTTAAGCTCTTGCCTGTGGCACTCAGGTGAGTAATTTTCTTACTACATTACTTGTGTTCAGGGCTAAGCATAGTGCGGAATCTCATTCCGGTTTAGGTCCCAGGCTCCACCAGCTCCTGACACCTCTGTGTGGGTGTCAAGATATTCATGTCTCTGTGTCTCTGTGTGTATCATCACTAGGCCTGTCTGCATGCCTCTTCATCCAAAGTCAAAAAGAAAATGACCCAACTGCAAATTGCCAGATAGCACACTGTCTCGCTTGACTGGCAGCTGAAGAAACCATCACACGGATCCCTCACTAAGCTCAAAATGTGAGTCTTTAGAAAGTCTTTCCAGGCACTTGGGCCTGATTTCTTTTTAAAGATACCACGGTGTGCAGCAGAAAGAGCACACACACTGGAACCAGACAGGGAACTGTGGGGGCCTGTCCCGGGGAAGTTATTTAACACCTCTTTCCTTGCATCACATGAGAATAACAATGTCCTTCTTGCAAGGTTGCTGTAACAACTGTTGCATTGTGTACAGGATCCCAGGAAATAATAGTTATAAATATGTTAGTATTATCAATCCCTTAATTATTAATAACATGAATGACAAACATAGTTTAAAGTCACTGTGCTGTTTTTAGCTTGCTATAAACTGTCAGAAGTGGGGCCCAGTGCAAGGTCATAGGTCGTGGGGACCTGCCCTCGGAAGGACTTAGTGTGGGTCTGTTGTGAGCTAGCTGTGAGGAGGACAGGCTGCTACAAAGTAAGGCCACCACCCACTCGAGCCATTCAACACAGGCTACTTCCCTTCCCACTTCTCCGCCACATTGTAACACACAGCCAGGACACTGGCAGCATGCTCTGACGGCCCTTCATGAAATGGCAGCCAGATAAACCTTTTTATCTCAGAAGTACCCACTCCCAGGTATTCTGTTATAGTGACCAAAAGGTGAACTTAGACATTCAAGGACCACCAGACCTGTAAGAAGAACTTCAGTGTGAAAAGCCAATGACCAAAAAGCAACCAAGAGACACTAAGAAAATACGTGAGACAGAAAGAGATAAATCAGGAGTAGGAAGGAAAACTATCATTAAGATCCTAGAGGTAGACACAAATAATGCATTCTTTAAATAAAAGATGCTTTAGGCCAGGGATGTAGCTCAGTGGTTCCACCACCTGCTTCACAAGCACAAGGTCCCGAGTTCAATCCCCGGTACCAAAAAATAAATAAATAAATAAATAAATAAATAAATAAATAAATAAATAAATAAATAAAAGATGCTTTGAAAAAAAGAAACAGGAGGAGGTTCATTATCTGAGAGTTCCAAGAAAAGAGCATACAAAAAATGAAAGAGGAAATATCAAAGAAATGGAACAGAATATCCTGCCACAACTGCAGGGCAGGAACAGCTCGTAAAGCTGAGCACCCCACACAATGAGGCAGGCAGGGCACAGTGACACCTCAGGATACCCAGACTGGTGAGAAAGCACCCAGGGGAGCAAACCCTTTCCAAAGACCAGGAGCCCCGCCCCCCCAAACCTGAGGGCCATGTCCCTCAGCATGCGCTCACTGCCCCTGCCGCCACTGACACAGGGGCTACACCAGCGGCCGGGGCGCAGGAAGAGATTGCAGCAGGGAGGCCAGCCCAGGAGCAAGAGAATCTACAGTTCTGAGGGTGTGGCAAGCGCTCGGGAATCTAGCCAACATTACCGTCCACCCACTTGGGAGCGATGCGGAATAGGAGACAAAGGGAGGCCACAGGCTAACTTCTCCTCTACCCTCAGTAGGAAATCGACAGCAAATGGAGAGCTCGTGAGCTGTGATTTACAACTATGGAGCTAAACTGCAGGAGAAGAGCCTGGGGGCCAGGCAAGACCGCTGGGCAAGTGGGTTTTCCGGAAGGTCGGGGGTGGAGAAGTGCTATTTTCATTATACGTCTAGAAATTGTTTGGCTTTTACAACTGTGTACAGGTAATACTACGAGAAAAGTCAGTCAGAAACGTGATGAAACCGGTGGAGGAAGTTCACAGTGAATAACCAATAGGGCGAATGGACGAGCGGCAGTTCTCCAAGGGTCAACCACGAAACTGAGGAAGATGTGAAGCTCACTCTGAGGAGCCCCTGTGTGCTCGGTAGGCTGCCAGCCTGGCCCACAAAAGCCACAGGTAAATTTTAACATCTGCTGATATTACAACTGGGAGGTTTTGAGAAGGATTAGGGCGTGAGGGCGGCTCCCCGGTAAGTGGGATCAGTGCCTTATATAAGGGACAGCACTACCTCCTGTCAGGCAGGAGAACAGCACCCCAGTCCCTTGGGTCATCTTACCAACAGGGTCAGGCTACAAAACAAAACAAACAGGATGAAGCCGAACACATCAGTGCAGTTATTCAACATTACACAAAGCTCTTCTCCAAAAGCACAGGCTAGTTTTTCTCATCCTTTACCTTTCAAAAGCCTGAAAACGTAAAGGGAAAATGACATTTTTTTAAATGGTGCTTTGCAACCTATGCCAAAAGACTGTAGACAGATACCTTTGATCCCATAATTCCTCGCTCCAGAACAGAACACGGTCTGGGAAACTGCAGCCTGGTTTGTGACGGCGATTCCAACCCTGGAGACATCTGGGAACATGATGCCTGACTGCACCCCGGGAAAGCCCAGTTTAACTGGCCTAGGCTAGGACCTGTGCACCAATACCAAGAACTCCTGCACCCAAAACTGGGAACTCCTGCTTGATGACAGAAAAAACTGGAGACCCTCTAAACACCCTGCTGAAGGAACTGGATAGACAGATCTATGGCATCAGGGTCAAACAACGGCATACTTGTTGTAAAGTAATATGGCGTGAAAGCAACTTGTATTGTGTGTATACAGAGGGACGAGGACAGTTATTTTGGTGCGTTATTAGGCAGACATAATGTATGTGAAACACAGCCCACTTAGGAGGAAAAGCAGAATAGACTAGCTACTATTCTGAAATTAAAGGCTTTACTTGTCAGAAGGCATCATGTCTTGAGTACAGAATGCTTTAAATATTTTTGTTCTTAATTTTCATGATGAACAGATTACTGGCATGACCTTCTAAAGTTTGGAATGCACAGTACAGGGAAGTCACTCTGCAGTTATAAACCTTTTGACACTGCTCGTGCAGATTTCACCTCACACCCCACTGGGGCACCCCACTTTCACCTGCGGGTTCTCGGGGTACACCACGCCCTGCCAAACCTCAGAGTACAGAAGAGCTTCCCTCAGTTTTGCCTTTCCTTCATCGATGCAAAGGCCAGCTGCCTTGAACCCTGCACACCCCTGGGACAATGGTCCGTGTGCCAACTGTCCTGCTAAATTTCCTTCCAGGGGCGCCAGAGGGACATGCAGGAAGCCGCTCTGTTAACAGCGTCAGGAAATCAGCCCCCGCCCCGGGCTGGGGCTATCCAAAGGCAGTGACAGTGGTCCTCAAATTCCAGCGTCACTGGCCCAGGGGTGGGGCTGCTGAAGGGGGCCGGCAGGAAGAGACACTGACTGGAAAACTTTTCACACAGGTGAGTTCCCCAGAGGGCACCGAGGCTGAGCTGGCAGAGCTGTAGTTGCCTCATCCTTCCTTTCCCTCGCTGTGTTAGTGTTTACTGCTTTACTACGAGAGATTATCTGGCTGGGGTACAGCTCAGTGTCGAGGGCGTGCCCAGCGCACTCCAGGCCTTGGGTTCCGTTTCAGCCCTGAAAAAAGGGAACGGGGGAGGGGTGGAAGAGACCCATCTGGGATATTACAGAAGACAGAGATGAGGGGCAGCACAGGCAAGGCCAGCGGTGACAGTTCCTGCGCAGGACCCTCCAGGCGTTTCGTTATCCAGTTCTCCAAACCCTTCTTGACATAGGTGGGATCCACTGATGCGTGAGCCACTGGTGATGGCTTCCACTTCCAGCCCCTCTGCTATCTCCCCAGGCTGAAAGTCCCAATCCTTGACTCCAATGAAGCAGCCCTGTCCTGAAGCCACCAAGGGGACCCAGACATTACAGGTTGGTAGCGTAAGAAGACAACTGCTCTGGAGACTCTGAGGACTGTAGGAGCTGTGAAAAGGGGAGGGGAAAGCAAATCTATTTCCTGCTACCACAGACCATTCCCAGCCTTTGAACAAAGTTCCCTTCCGCCAAAGGAACGTTCCTCTCAAAAGACACCGGGGCCCTGCCGGAGCCCCACACGACCTCCTCCATGGGTCCGGGTGTGAAGCCTCAGGGTGGGCGTGGGTGTGGGTGGTGGAGGCTTCCAAAAGCAGAGCCGTCTCAGCAAACACGGTTTCACCCCTTCCGGGTCAGGCACCACTGAGCTAAGACAGCACCACACTCTCTCCCTCGCAGCCTCTTCTGAACTGCTGGAGTCGTAGCCGATTTCCCCCCCTTCCCGCCTCGTCCTCCCCTCGGTGCCCGGGGTCCTCGCCCTGCGCGTCGGAGCTGGTCGTTACAACAAACCGAGGAAAGCTCAGGGGGTTTCAGCCACCGCTATCATCAGAAGTTCCGCAGTCCAGGAATCAAGACAAAGCCCCACCGTACGCAGAGAGCTCTAACAAGTGTGCAGTGCGAACTGTCTGCTTCTAGCCCCGGCCTCTCGCCAACTGGTAGCAATCAGACCGGACACTGGAGGATGCGGGAAATCTAAAATTAGGTTTTGCTACCTATGTTGGAGGATTTATGGGATGGTCTAATTGGTAGTTTCAGGACTGAAGCACCAAATGAGGGGAACAAAAACATTGTTCTAGACAAACCCTATGTGCTCACACGCTTTCCCTGAGCCTCACCTGCAACAAATAGGGGTGCAAGTCTGAGTGGACGGAGGGACGCCGCCCTGCCTTCCCTGCACCCGAGCCTGTCTCCCAAGGGCACCAGCATGGCAGGGCAGCGCAGACCGGGCATTCTGAGGAGCAGGGCACCCACTCCATCTAGTCCTCTCCCGATGGGCCAAACTACAGAAACAGCGGCCTCAAAGCCCAGAAGTCAACCCCAGTTCGCCCGCGTGTACCTCTTCATGGCCACGTTCGGCACTCGAGGGGCCTTTGGAAAGCTTCCTGAATCCCGTTAGTAAGGAATCGCTGAAGTCTGTTTCTCTGTGTCCGCCATGTGTTCGGAAAGAGTTCAAGCAAAGAGGAGAAAAGAACACAGCCCCGAGCTGTGAGTCGGTTAGCAACGGGGGATTCCTACCTCATGATGCTCATCCCCCTGCAGGCGACGACTCCCAGCCAGGCGCCCACAGAAACACCCACTGCAGAGAGGGGAGCTGGGAGACACAGCCCCTTCCGCTGGCTCGCCCATGATCTCACCCAGCCTTGGTGGGGTGGCTCCTCTCCCCCTGGACCCACTGGGGCGGAGGTGACAGCGGCCCCGAGTAGAGGTCAAACCAGCAAAAGGGCAAGTGCAGCGCCTGGCCTTCGGAATCCTACAGTTTGAGCGCCCCCCAAAACTCAGGCAGAATGCAACCCCAAGGTGAGGGATTAGGAGAGCAGACATTCCATCGGGCATGGGATTGGAGGAAGAGTCTGAGCAGGAATTCAGATCAGATGAGGTCTGGAAGGTGGTGTCCCCAGGATGGCATCAGTGGCTTTGTGAGAAGAAGAAGAGGGACCCACAGTGCCTTTGAGACGAAAGGCATTCCTAGGGGTGCCCTCTGCCGTGTTTTGATGCAGAAAGAAGCCCTCAAGCAAAGCTGGCCCCAACCTCTCTGGCTTCCCAGCTTCCAGGGCCATGAGCTGAGCTTCTGTTCTTTATCAATTACCCAGTCTCAGGTATCTCCTAATAGCAACAGAGAGGGGACTAAGAGAGGATTCCATTGAAACAGTGTTGCCACTGATGAGGGTAACCTTCTGTCTGCAAAGCAGTATTGTTTCTGAGTATCAGGATTCCCTTTTAAAGAGGCCTCAATGATTGTAACATAACAAGATGGGAAGACAGTTTTGCTTTTAAAGTCCAATAATAAAGGCCATTTTCCTGGGCCTCCTTGCCTTGGGAAGGCTTCTTGGAACACTGTCATCCTCACATGCACGGTCTGAGGTGCCCCTGTCCCCAGGGACCCTCCTGAGGACACCAGTGTATGACACAATCCTTTACTCTACGAAGAATTTGCAGCAGGGTGACATTCAGCAGAACGGCGCTTCTTCGACTTCACTGAGTGTGGTCCAAGGAACAGCCAACTTTCCCTGAATTCTGGGTTCCTGAGGCAAGGTTCTATACTCACCGTGCTCACACTAACTAAAAGGACATTGGTAGAGGGCTGGGGATTTAGCTCAACAGTTCGGTGGCCTGCCTTGCAAGAGCAAGGACCTGAGTTCAATCCCCGGTATCAAAAAACGGAGACATGGGTAGAAAAATGCTATGCAAAAATCATAGCAAGTCAAATGAAGCCAAGGAGCGAAACACTAACTTGTATTGTATATTTCTTTTTGGTGGATGCAGAGATGGCTTTGTTGTCATTGGCCCTGTCTGCTTGGGATCATGAATGTTTTCTAAATTCCTACACCATATTATAGCTCACACTCCCAGTTGTAATTTCGAAGGGAATTCCCCCAAAAGACGCTGGAAAAACTGACACAGATTATGACTCACACGCAAGGCCTGTAGTGTAACCGAGTTCATACAAAATAACTGTTTAGCCATGCACTGACCCCGTTACCAAAAAGTCCACAATGACATGACTTTGCTCTTATGGTATGGACAGCGAGGGTAGTTGTCTTTTTAAGGAGGTATTTTTAGTGATTTGTTTTTCAGGGGAAGCATTTGGCAATTTCCAAATCTACCCTCCCTGTGACCATGACATAGCACTTGGTCACCTCTGTAGCTCTGTCTTCAAAATCCCGATGTGAATCAACAGGGACTCAAACTAGCTGTAAAAAATTAAAAGCAGACTATGTGGAAAGAAGAAAGGAGGGAAGA